AGTGGCTCCGCTCCACTACCGCAGATTGCTTGTATATGATTACATCTTTCAAATATGATGGACAACTTGTAGTTCCGCTCTAGATCACCATCTCACTGTTTTATTGTCTGGCACAATAATTCATAGGTAGATTTCACTTAGACGGCAGTCCACAATCCATTTTTTTGCACCAATTTCACTGTGCGCCTTTGGGTTCACAGTTTGTACTAGACACGGCTATTTAGCACTTTTTGATACTTTTCAAGTCACTTCCGCTTAAAAGCCATCACTCAGTTTTTTCACATACTTTATTTATTAGCATTTGTGATCACATATCCACATTTAGTATATACACATTAGTTTTTATATAGATTGTGTTCATTTAATTGTATTATCACCTTTCACCACATCGACTTATATAAACTATTGTTTTGATGATATATCACGGACAAACCAAATAGATTTTGAACCGAGCGCAACATACAAGCCTTCCATTTTACATCGTGACAGAGGTTTTAATCTGAAACAACCTGTATCCCATCGCACTCCTGACCGGATAAAAGCCCCCAAAAAACAGGGCGGGTGCGGCAGTGACAGCAGATGCCTCCGCAAAACACATGCAAATCCAAATAGAAGGTCACTCGCACTCCAATGCAATGCCCAGTCAATCTTTTTTTTTTTACTGCCTTAGTCAATAAAAAGATTGACTTGGCATTGCATTGGAGTGCGAGTGACTTTCTATTTGGATTTGCAAGAGGTTTTAATCTTTCTCCGTGTTTTCCAAGACAAACAAATGTTTGCCTGGAGTCCTTACTTTAACCAATTTAGTACCAGCCTGTACAGTATATACCTTTTAGTTCCCAGGCCACTATTCAGTTTTCAATGCTGTGATACTTTGACTGACTGAATTACTTGGTCATACAACGCTGTACACAAATGAACATCATGTAATTTTTTTAGATGGCGCTTTCTTTTGGTGATATTTAATAACCACTTTTTTTTTACTATATAAAAGGAAAGAAAGACCAACATTTTGGGGAAAAAATCATGTGTTTCTTATTTACAAATAATATCAAATACAATACCAGGACAGTAGACCCTTCCCCTCAAATAACCCCTCTTTGAAAAGTAGGCACCCCAAGGTGATCACAATTTTTGGGAAATAATGACACGTGTTGGCATTTGGGAGGTTGAAACATGGAGCTTGGTGATGGTGGTTCAGATGCAGCAAAGAGGGAGGAGGGGGTGAAGGGGTTAATGTACAGGTCACACACAGTGGATTACTGTGCATGATAAGGGAGGCAAAGTTGTTAATATAAAAGGGTTTAATAAACATTCCCACAATCAAATTAATTCAAGCTCCAACCTTCAGTCTGCTGCTGCCTACCTCCCTTCCTATGACACCTTCCTTTAAAGGAGAACTATGAGGCGAGTAAAAATCTCTCAGCCTCATAGTTCTAGCCGACCCGTAACAATTTAACTGTCACAGGTCGGCTCAGTAGATCGGGAAGTGTGCGAACACATAACGGCGCTCGCTCACTTCTCGATCCCGTCCCTGCAGAGAGCCGTGACTGTCACTCACGGCTCCCTGCAGGGATCCCCCCCCCTCCCCTGTCCGATCCTCCAGTGCTGACTGGGGGAACGGAAGGGGGAGGGTACAGCTGGCTCTGCCTCTAGATAGGCAGAGCCAGCTGTCAATCATGCAGCTGGGTGGATCTCAACAGTAATGTCGGGATCCATCACGGTTGCGGCATCTCAGTATACCGCGAGCTGTAGCTCGCGGTATACTGAGCTTTGGGTGACGGAAGGGTGCTAGTATGTGTCCTCCTGTTACCCTTAGGAGAACTAAGGGGAAATACCCTGACCCCATAGTTCTTTTTTAATTCTCCTTTCTCCCCTCCTTTCATTGTGTCCTCAGGGGAGGGCTCCTAAATGTAAACACATGCAGTGTTTACATTTGTGATCGCTGTGATTGGCCATAGACAGCAATCGCAAAGCACAGAGCTACTCTGATTGGCTCTGTGCATTTTGCCTGTGATCTGTGCTGTCTAATGACAGCTCGATCACAGGCATTTGACAGGTGCACTGGTTACCAGTGCGTGTTTTCTGCAGCACTGTTTATAAATGTCGCTCCAGAAAACTCCACCTATGAGTCCACCTATCTGTGTTTTTTTTATTTACTATACTCCAATAGTTAGGTGGTGAATAGGCCAATTAAAACATCACAGAGAGGAATTATTACCATTGAGTCAGACACTGCAGATGTTCTAAGATACCTTGGGGAATATATTGAAAATTTCCGGGCTGATCTGGAATACACCACTGGTGTCAACTTCATATCGGAGCTTTGTTCCAAGTGGCGTGTTCTTCTGGGTGGTGAAAAGGAAAGACGGTGCATTGCAGCATCTGGAGAGAGCATTTCTAGAGCAAAACACAAGAACAGAGCATGTCACCTTTCTATAGGAACCAGCATTGCCTTTTGCAGCAATTTGAGCTACAGTAGCTCTATTGGATCAGACTACATTGGCCATCCTTTGCTCCCCAAATGCATCAATAAGCCTTGGCCACCCATGACCCTGTCGCCGGTTCATTGGTTTTTCCTTTTTTGGACCACTTTTGGTCGGTTCTGACCACTGCAGACCGGGACATCCCATGAGAGCTGCAGTTCTGGAGTTGCCAACCAATCTAGACATCACAATTTGGCCCGTCCGGTTCATTGGTTTTTCCTTTTTTGGACCACTTTTGGTCGGTTCTGACCACTGCAGACCGGGACATCCCATGAGAGCTGCAGTTCTGGAGTTGCTCTGGCCAACCAATCTAGACATCACAATTTGGCCCTTGTCAAAGTAATCTAGATCCTTACACTTGGCCATTTTTTCTGCTTCCAACACATCAACTTCAGTGACAAAATATTAACCTGCTGCCTAACATATATATCAATATATCTCTATACATTTCAGATGCAGAAGAAAAACATTCAATGTATTAAGAATCATCATAATTACTTATTTAATATTGAATACTTCCATCCTGTGCCCAATGACAAGATGGCATTTGCTGTGTTGGGTTTTAGTAATGAGGACAGCAGAAATGCCATTATAGATCTTCCCACTACACAGTAATTGTTTTCCTTATTGTTTTCCCATTTATTCTCGCCTAGTGATCCTGCCAATAATATCTAGAAGCAGAAAAAAAAGGTACTGTGGGGAAATCTTTGACTTGAAGGTGAATATTGCAGAAAAAGCAGTTTATCTTTTTAAGAAGAACTGTGGAAGAAGAAGGTCAATAACCTACCCTTGCAGTGGAGCTACCCCAGCACTGCAAGGTTTAAGTGTTCATTTTGGTCTAAGGGGCTGAAATAAAGTGGATATACTCACCTGATCCTCGGTCCCGCGGCAGTCAATGCTCTCCTCTCTCCTGGCTATGGAATGTCCATCTGCATCCTCACATCTGAAGCAGGTCAATGGACCCATATAACACAAGATGATGTCAGCGGTCCTTAGGCTGCTGGAGCCCAGGGGAGAAGAGGTTGCACAGGCTGGTCTAGCAGCCTGGAGGGATGCAGCAGGATTGAGGATCAGGTGAGTATATCTGCTTTAGTTGACTCCTCCTAGACAAAACAAGCACTTAATAATTGAGGTGCAGGGGGTAGCCCCACTGCAAGGGTAACTTTCTGATTTTCCCCAGAGTTCTTCTATAACAGGCCTTTTTTTTAATGTTATGGATAAAGTTCTTCTTCAGCAATAGGATGTCTACTAAGCTCACATAGGTTGGATGGCCACATCCATTTTGGCAATAATGTGTGTCTCCTTGAACAGGAAGAAATGTACGGTATGTAGCTTGCAGCACTCCTTACCGGATTGTTGTAGATTGCAATTCTGAGCCTGATGACGGGGACCCTGCGAGGCCACGAAAAGTACTCGCTATTGAATGACATTGGTTGTCATTAAAATGGACAATTGCTGAATACTACAGCTTGGTGTGCTGGTGACATCCCTTATTCCTTGAACAGGAAGTCCCCGGTGATACTCATTGACGTTGATAGGGGGTACACATTCGGTAGTTTTGTCCTTCCCTATCTCCACAGAAAAACGAATGGCCAAACCCCACTCACACTGAGATTTCCCATTCTCTGTGTGTGATGACGAATGCCCCCAGATGGCTGGAGCATAGCGGACTTACTTGAAATTGTTGGCTTCTATCATATTCATCTCCCACTTGCAGATCTGAAGGCTCTTCCACCTTTCAAACAGCTCTGCATTCTTCACCCTGCGGTAAACGTAACATTCACACAGTGTCAGCAAACCAACAAGGAACTTACCTACTGGTTTTAAAAATATTGGACACTAATGAATGAAACACATCCCTCTAGCTCTGTCACCTAACAGTTGTATATGTCTTGTGGACTTTGGTGGAGAGATCTCTGCACACAGGCCAGGGTGAATGTACCCCACTATGCAGGAGCACCCTAAAATGGGCGGCCACACCAACGAAATGCCAAGCTAGACAAGCTCAGTACCAAAAGCCATGGCAGGGAGATTTCACCACTGAAACCCCCCCAAGGGTATAAGAGAACCCAGTGGTTGACCAACCAGACTCCACCAACACCAGAAAGATCACTTTTGCAATTGTGATCCCTTTAAGAAGCTCCCAATGCAGTTTTTTATATATTGTCCTGCATAATTCTTTTAAGAGCAGTCGCCTTACAAAAGCAAAATGTTAAAAATAGGGGCAATGTTTTACTTAATTATACATTGTTGAGCTTTCAAAAGGAACATAGATGAGTCAGCACCACTATTAAGTGCCTTAAGTGGCAGCCAAACTGTGATAATCTTGGCACAGCTGTTTCAAAATGTTCAGGCCACGCTATGTGGTGGGATGAATATATAGTAAGTATAATGGGGTCATGTTTTTCCCGCAACGTTCAGGGAACTTTGCTTCTTGGATGAAAGAACCGAGAATAAATGGATACAGGGTTAGAAGGGCAATTAGAAAATGACCTGGTCATGATAAAAGGAAAGTATACTGTTCTTGCAGAGCGGGAGTCGAGGCTGCAGACCAGGCCGAAAGCTTAGCTTTGTGCTAAAGTCTAAAAAGAAATTTATTTATTGTATTTTTGTTATTTTTAGTAAATGTGAAATAAGGACAGTTCTTTAATTCCATGAATTAAATGGGGGTCTGTTATATTGGCAACAATGACACTTTAATGGAGACCTTGCATCAAAATTATCCCTAGACTCCCTGTTCTTTAGACCCCCTAACTCCTACTATATGTAAAAATGAGTTTCATCTTATCTAAACTTAAAGGAGAACTATGAGGTGAGTGCTTTTCACTCACCTCATAGTTCTAGCCGACCTGTGACAATGAGACTGTCACAGGTCGGCTCAGTAGATCGGGAAGTGAGCGAACACATACCGGCTTTCGCTCACCTCTCGATCCTGTCACGGCTCTCTGCTGTGACAGGGGAGGGGCTGGATTCCCCCCTCCCCGCTCCGATCCGCCAGCGCTGACTGGCAGAACGGATGGGGGTCGGGGCGGGTAGAGCTGGCTCTGCCTCTAGATACGCAGAGCCAGCTGTCAGTCACGCAGCTGGGCGGATCCAGACATAATTGTCGGGATCCGCTTCAGCTGCGGCATCTCAGTATACCGCGAGCTACAGCTCGTGGTATACTGAGCCTAGGGTGACGGGAGGACGCTAGTTTGTGTCCTCCCGTTACCCTAAGGAGAACTATGGGGAAAAGCCTTAACCCCATAGTTCTTCTTTAAGAACAAAAATATCATATACACTGCCTGGCCAAAAAAAAGTCACTACCTGGATTTAGCTAAGCAACTAGGTCAGAGCCTTCCATTGGATAAGTGTTATGATCTCGGGTTGCTTCAGTTGGTCAGGTCTAGGTTCAGCAATGTTATGTCCCCAGAAAATGAGGTCAGCTGCTCCCTGAATATACTGAATGACCAGTTTTTTCCATCAATGGATTGTTTCTTCCCTGATGGCACATTGGGCATATTCCAAGATGACAATGCCAGGATTCATCGGGCTCAGATTGTGAAAGAGTGGTCCAGGGGGCATGAGACATAATTGTCACACATGGATTGGCCACCACAGAGTCCAGACCTTAACCCCATTGAGAATCTTTTGGATGTGCTGGAGATGAGTTTATGCAGAGGTCCGACTCTCCCATCATCACTACAAGATCTTGGTGAAAAATTAATGCAACTCTGGATGGAAATTAACGTTGTGACATAGCATAAGCTTATCAAAATGATGTCACGATAAATGCGTGCCGTAATCAAAGCTAAAGGTTCCACAAAATATTAGAATGTGTGACTTTCTTTTGGCCAGGCAGAGTATTACAGCTTACTAGTCCTTAGATGAGGTGGCTGCATTCGTTTGAAATGTTTAGGCTTTTTTTCCTTTGTTTTCACCTGGTAATCCTGTAAATAACACACTTCCTGTCTCTGGGGGGGCTATGCTCATCCTCCACTGTTTCTATGGAGGAAGCCCTGGTTGCTACCAGGGATGCACCGATACCAGATTTTCGGTATTGAGTACGAGTATCAATATTTTTTCCTATACTACTATTTGTATCGGTGCATTCCTAGTTGCCACCCAAGCTGGACTTCAAATATGTCTGCCTTTGTTCATCTCCGTTACATTGGGGTGATATGATTAACAGTTTCAAAAACAATGTAACAGTTAAAAGAAAGATAACAGTGTTTCTAGCTTCCTGCTTATCTCACAGGAAGTGGCAAGAACACAGCATTTCTGATAAGATCAGCAGGAGTTTCCTGTACTTGCTGAAAATGTTCTTAGCCTTAGGGATTCTGACATGAAGAGGTGCTTCTAAGTGTGAGGGGGGGGACTCCTGATGTAAAGGGGGACACTGATGTGAAAGGGATTCCTAATATGAGCGGGGAGTCTGATGTGATAAGATAATGATAAGGGTCTGGTATGGATTTTGGAGGGACCACGCTTCTTATTTACATTTGTAGACCGGGTGCTGGGAGATTTTTCATACTTTTAAAGGATGCTGTGACTAAAAAAATGTTGAGAAACGCTGCTCTAGAGGGTGGGGGACGGGGCTAGGGTCAGGGCCGGCCTTAGGGGTGTGCGAGCAACAGGGCGCCATGGCAACAAGGGCGCCGTGCGGCCGACACAGCTCGTCCTGGGGGCGGCTTCTCTCCCCCTCCCCGCTGGGCACTGGCCATCCGATATGACAGCGCTCCCTCGTCCGCAGGAGGGAGCGCTGCCTGCTGTCAGGATGGCAGAGCGGTGAGGGGGAGTGAAGCCGAGCCCGCAGCTGTCAGGATGGCCGAGCGGGGAGGAGATCGGAGCCGCTGTCATCCTGTCAGTTTCAGGATGACAGCGGCTCCGATCTCCTCCCCGCTCGGCCATCCTGACAGCTGCGGGCTCGGCTTCACTCCCCCTCACCGCTGGGCACTGGCCATCCGATATGACAGCGCTCCCTCGTCCGCAGGAGGGAGCGCTGCCTGCTGTCAGGATGGCAGAGCGGTGAGGGGGAGTGAAGCCGAGCCCGCAGCTGTCAGGATGGCCGAGCGGGGAGGAGATCGGAGCCGCTGTCATCCTGTCAGTTTCAGGATGACAGCGGCTCCGATCTCCTCCCCGCTCGGCCATCCTGACAGCTGCGGGCTCGGCTTCACTCCCCCTCACCGCTGGGCACTGGCCATCCGATATGACAGCGCTCCCTCGTCCGCAGGAGGGAGCGCTGCCTGCTGTCAGGATGGCAGAGCGGTGAGGGGGAGTGAAGCCGAGCCCGCAGCTGTCAGGATGGCCGAGCGGGGAGGAGATCGGAGCCGCTGTCATCCTGTCAGTTTCAGGATGACAGCGGCTCCGATCTCCTCCCCGCTCGGCCATCCTGACAGCTGCGGGCTCGGCTTCACTCCCCCTCACCGCTGGGCACTGGCCATCCGATATGACAGCGCTCCCTCGTCCGCAGGAGGGAGCGCTGCCTGCTGTCAGGATGGCAGAGCGGTGAGGGGGAGTGAAGCCGAGCCCGCAGCTGTCAGGATGGCCGAGCGGGGAGGAGATCGGAGCCGCTGTCATCCTGTCAGTTTCAGGATGACAGCGGCTCCGATCTCCTCCCCGCTCGGCCATCCTGACAGCTGCGGGCTCGGCTTCACTCCCCCTCACCGCTGGGCACTGGCCATCCGATATGACAGCGCTCCCTCGTCCGCAGGAGGGAGCGCTGCCTGCTGTCAGGATGGCAGAGCGGTGAGGGGGAGTGAAGCCGAGCCCGCAGCTGTCAGGATGGCCGAGCGGGGAGGAGATCGGAGCCGCTGTCATCCTGTCAGTTTCAGGATGACAGCGGCTCCGATCTCCTCCCCGCTCGGCCATCCTGACAGCTGCGGGCTCGGCTTCACTCCCCCTCACCGCTGGGCACTGGCCATCCGATATGACAGCGCTCCCTCGTCCGCAGGAGGGAGCGCTGCCTGCTGTCAGGATGGCAGAGCGGTGAGGGGGAGAGACGCCGCCCCCAGGACGAGCTGTGTCGGCCGCACGGCGCCCTTGTTGCCATGGCGCCCTGTTGCTCGCACACCCCTAAGGCCGGCCCTGGCTAGGGTTAAAAACTTTGCCCGGAGATAGGTTTTAACCAAGTGTTAACAATTAAAGTTTTTCAGACTTTGCATTTTGAAAATGTGTACTATGTTCTAAACTCACTAAACAAATCCAATGTCACAAACCAAACAGGAAATTCAACGCAATGGGCAACTCACATGGAGAGAACCTTCACATTCATGATGTCCTGTCTCAGCTCCAGGCACTTTGTAGAATTGTAATCTAAAGGACCTTTATAGAACTCAAAGTACCTGAAAGACAACACAGAGCAAAATGTTACTCAATGTAGTAATATTATCATGCCACTATATTTCAGTTCCTATGCTCCTCGGCTCCATCTAGTGGCAGCAATGCCCTGTAAACGGTGATGTGCTGGGCGAACGGTTTATAAATTCATCTCTCTATTGAATAATAAATCATTAAATGTATACTTTTAAATACAATGTAAATACCTAAATATGACTTGGTATCAGCCTATTGCAATCCACTGTACAGCATAATGGGAGAGGGAGGGGCAGCACAAGGAACAAATCAGCTGTACCTATGTGCTAAGAGGGATGAGCTCATCGGTCTGCTGCTTCTTCTTTTACTGTCCAATCACAGACTGAGGGAGGGGCAAGACCTGTAAGTGTTGCTTGATTGCAGCAGAGAAAAATCGGGTATCCTCCCTTGCACAGACAGGGCTGTGCTGTGTGGCAGAGCTGCGTAAATCTCTGAACTGCATAGACAGGAACTTTTTTTATTAACGGACTAAAAAAAATCTTATTTATTGTTCACTGCAAATGTTTTCTATTCACTTTCCCCGCATACAGTTTGCTTATTTTGCAATCATCTGAAATAAGCAACTCCAAATCATTTTCCAGGGTGGGCACACACTGCTGTCCTGTGGAGGACCCGCTCCGTCTCAGCTTCCATTCATAAGAAGCTTCTTCCGGAGCTATGTGTGTGTCTGAGAGGGCTCACATGTCACAAGTCTTCCAGCAGACAGCAATGATCCATGCCACTTTTAGGGATGAGATGACATTAATAGGTCGGATATTGTTATTCAGCAACTCCTAACTATGTCAATTATGTCCTGTTGACCCCGAGCTGCTTGTCCTGTTCTGAAAGTTGCTGAGAGATCAGCTGTGTGTGTATGCTGGCTGGACTCCACCACCTTAACCTCTTCTCTACTTCAACCTTTAGCTGCCAGAGCCGTTTTTGTGTTTTGTTTCTTTTTTTGCACACATGTTAAAATACACATTTTAGGCCTGAAGAATGCTTAACCCCCCCCTAGAATTATATATTTCCTGCAAGCAGAGACCCTGGAGAACAAAAATGGTGGCAGATGCAATTGTATTATGTTGCAAGATATTAGCACATCTGCTTATCAAACCCTAATTTCCAGTAAAAGATACACTGACGTTCAATCTTAGCGTACATAAACACAACATATTACCCAAATATACAAGATGAGGTTGTGCTGAGTACATACATAGCAAACATTTCAAGCTTCAAAATTGCGTGCGGCCGTGAAATCCCCAAAAGCTACGGTTCCCATAACTGTCCAAGGGAGCTGTAAAAGATTTTACAGTCCATGAATATTGGCCCTAGAATGATTGCTCTCCGGCGTGTGTGGCAATACCTAACGTGTGGTACTCATCGTTTTCATACGCAGGGGTGACCGACGCGTGTTTGAGTTAGTATGTAGGTGTAAGTGGGAGACTTTAAAAAAATGTTTTTTAGGTGCTTTTATATTTATTTTATTTAACTCTGTTTTTTAAAAGTTTTTTTACTTTAATTTATTAATATAACATAGGGGCTCACAACCCCCCGATGTAATACCACTTTAGAGCTGACGGGTCCACTTTAAGGAGACATTAGTGGTCTACTAGACTCCTAATGTCACCTTTCAAGCCCACTGAAGCTGATCAAGCACAAATGGTGCTTGATCAGCTTCTTCCCCGAACTCTCTGACCGGGGAATGACAGCTCAGGTTAATTCAGCGAGGAAGAGATCAGCATATGGTGTCTCTCTGCTCACAACTCCGACCAGCATGTCTACCAGCCCATGGACGTGAACAGGTAGGTGCCCAAATCACTTCTAGTGTAAAAGCCAACAACAGCTTTAAACTGACTCCCGGCAGCTATAGCTTACAGGGCCCGCTAAGTTATCGGGTCTGTACACCTACTGTGCTCATTATGAGGGGCTCCTACCATCCCTGCACGGAGTTCCTGGGTCTGTATACCTGCTGTGCTTATTATGAGGGGTTCCCACCTTCCCTGAGCTAAGTTCCTGTGTCTGTACACCTACTGTGCTCATTATGAGGGGCTTCCACTATCCCTGCACTGAGTTCCTGGGTCTGTACACCTACTGTGATCATTATGAGGGGCTCCTACCATCCCTGCACTGAGTTTCTGGGTCTGTATACCTGCTGTGCCCATTATGAGGGGTTTCCACCATCCCAGCTATATGTGTTATTATTGTTCACTTTAAGTTTCTGGAACACATAAAAGGTGGGCGAGATCACCCAAAACTTCCCGATGAACATGAACAGAGTCAGGGATTACTGCAGGGAGCTCACATTGTGGGTGTATACAAGACATATAAGAATCCAGGGGCAGATTCAACCCACTAGCCTCCATTTAAAACATAGCAAAACACTTTAAGTGGTATATGTAACAAAATAAAGCAAATAAAAGTTCATTGTTCGGGTTTACATGCATTATAAGTGAAGATGAAAGGCTAAAGGATGACCCTCATGAAACTTTGGAGTCTGCATCTTCACATAGTTTTCTATACAGTCTATGGGAATGCAAAACCTGCCTAAAGCCGGTCCAATGCAGGTCAACTGCAGGCCCAAGACACTTGTCAATGAATTCTTAAGGATCTCAGAAGATTCTCAAACTTATGCCAAACTGATGCCATCAACACAAACCCAAAGTATGTTGACACAGGGTCCCAATAAAATAATGGATAGAGCATCTGCACAGCAATGGGCCATGGTGAGCTAGGCTGGAAAAAATGGTGCATGTCCATTGTTTGCTGCATTCTTGTGTGTTGGTAGCCCAACAAAAGTGAGTCGGTTGGCTCATCACTAAAATGTTAATGGGCCCATGGGATATTTTGTTCTTGGAGGAGGAGCATAGGCGAGTCTTCTTTTCATGCCCAGTTTTATCAATGACAGTATGCACATGAGCGCTGGTGCAATGAAAGATCCTCCGAACTGCCGATTCTCCGAACTTCCTGTTGAGGAGCATGCACTCATAATTTCAATTCAAGTCACCTGATCACATACCTTGGGACTTTCATTGTCCCATGTGGGGACAATGTGATCAGCTGACATGGAATGAAATTATGAGATGCATGCTTCTCAACTGGAAGTACGGGGAATCGGCGCAGAGGAAACATTAGAAAAATGTAAGTGTTTCTGAACATGTCATGTGCTACATGAATCCATACCAATGTGTTGGGCAGTACAGTGGCGTAGTGGTTAGCACTTCTGCCTTGCAGCACTGGGGGTCCCTAGTTCAAATCCCAGCCAGGTATTTGAACTATCTGCAAGGAGTTTGCATGTTCTTCCTTTGCTTGCGTGGGTTTCCTCCAGGTACTCCAGTTTCCACCCACACTCCTCTTTAAGTTGGCCCTCTATGTATGCATGTGAGATAGGGACCTTAGATTGTAAGCTCCTTGATGGTAGGGACTGATGTGAATGTGCAACTATGTAAAGTGCTGCATAAATTGTCAGTGCTATATAAATACCTGTAATAAATAAATAAATTAGAAAAGACAAGTTTTTAGTAGTACACAGCCGGGCCTTGGTCCTGACACTGTGCGGTCTGTGGCACAACTATCACTGACAGGTCATATAGTAAACAGCTCCGGTCAGCTGTGCACAGCAGATGCTGTTTCAAAGGAGCAGGAAGTGCAAATTGAACCTGATGGATCACTTAATTCCCTACTCACAGCAATCGGCACCCCCTGTGTTCACAGACGGAGCAGTTGTACTGATTTAGCTTGAAGGGTAAGGAAACTTCCACAAAGATTCCTTATCCTTTTGCTCCCAGCCCCCTAAACTGGCATATCCCACCAAATCACTATACTTACCTAAATTTGGCGCCCAGGCCCCATACCTGCGGCCGTCTAAATACCGACTGCATCTGATAGGAGCAGCTACTGTTCATCCAATAATTTTTCACCAGGCTCAGACAATTTTTATATAATTTTTTTTCTAGTGCTGCAGCGGGGATCTGAGGAGAAATAAAGCGCTGAAGCCGGTGGGGGGAGAGTGCTGTCACTTCAGAATGGACGAGCGGTGAGGAGAGAGAGAGCCGCTTGGCCATACAGATGGGGGAGAGCAGCGGGGATCCAAGAAGAAGCTGCAGGGAAGCTGCAGACTGTGCCGAGTGGTTCAGGATGGCGAGCGGAGGATCGGTACATATCAGTGATATTTATCAGCTGATCACTCCGGTGTTTGTAAATAACCGGGGACACACAGTACTATGTGTCTCCAGTTATGAATAAACAATGGTAGTGATTACAGTGCTGTTACAGCCACTGATCCGGCTTCCAGCTCACTGTCTGGTAGAGCTGCAAGCCGGATCATTGTGCTACAAAAGTGATACAAAGTATCTCTGAGGAGAATACAGTATCTCCTCAGAATACTCAGTATCCAAAGCCCTTGCAAATAAAATAAAAGAACCCTTTAGTGCCCGATAGTTTAAAAAAAGTCTACACTCTACACTCGCTGCTGAGAGTGACACCTAACAGGCTATTTTGAGCTCAACTCCGGCCACATAACGCAAAAAAATGTATATTTTGGACCTCTGCCCCTTTTTGTTTGTTTACATGAAATTCCTCTAAATTTGTATTTAGCTGTCCCCAGAAAGTACAGCAGGAGCTGCCTCAGAGATAACAGACTCCAGTACTGGAGTTGTGCCTCCACCTTCTCTCACTTTGCCCTTTGCAAAGCACAACTTATGATGGTGATGATACTGTAAACATCAAGGTGCCTGAAGTTGAAACCTTAGTCCTGCCAATGACCAGTGCTGAATGGTCACCAGACGTTTACCTCTGGCCTGGGGTCTTCAACCCAAATCTCTGACCTCCATAACTGATCCAGGTTTCTTACTGACTCATCTGAGAACTCTCCTTGACTGCTCACCAGCTCCTATTACGGACCCCAGCTCTTATTCACTCACTACGATCCTCGCCTGGTCTTCTGGTACTTTGCTTCCCACTTGTTGCTCACCCAACCTCTTCCTGACTTTGA